CTGTAAACAACTGTAAATGACAGTGTACATAGGAAAACATTAGGAAGAGTTCAGGGGCTGCTGAAAAAAAAAATGCAGAAAAGCTCCTAAACGTGCGTTTATCAGCTGCAGTGTTCATGAACCCTTAATGAGCCACAATTTTGGAGACCTGTATCACCTGTATGCAGGGGGGGGACTGACCATTTGGAAACTGCCCGAGGGCCCGGGGTCAGTATGGGGCCCCATGAGATGCCCCTGGTACCTTTTTCATAGGCTTTTTTGAGTTTGGGCAAGGACACAGGGGCCCCATGATCCCCTTTTGCCCGGGGGCCCCATGAGTTGTCAGTCCGCTCCTGCCTGTATGTAACGATGGCAAATAAATGTAATCTTTTAACATTATTGTGTGTGGATGTTTTGTAACCATGTTTTATATAAGATTTTGTGATTGCTTATTACTATGCAGTGCAAGAAAATGGCAAGGATGATTTATGGTGAAATTCTGCTGCCACTCAGTGGTTGTTTCATGAACTGCATATTTTTACTTTAAAAAAATAAATAAATGTGATTTGATTTTCTATTTAAACAACATGCATTTTGCCATCGTTTTAATTAGGTAATTTTTTTTAGATGCATTCAAATACTTGTTATATTTTCTTAACCGCTGTAATATTTCACAGTTGAAATATATAATATAGAAAACTTAGATTTTTTTTCTTTTTCTTTTTTTACAAACTCAACCAATGGAGACAGTTTATTAGGATAATAGGACTGATGTGAATGTACAATATATATGTAAAGCACTGCGTAAATTGATGGCGCTATAGAAGTACGTAAAATAAATAAATAATAATTAATTTAGTATTTTCAAAAGTGGCAATCATGTTAAAGCAGAACTAAACCCTCCTATCCTTTTCAGCCGAAGAAGCGGCCATCTTAGCCTCCTTTTGATCTGCAACTGCCATGGTGCTGCACATGTGATCAGTTATGACACCAGCTATTTGATTGGTTGAGAGCAAAAGCCAATGTGATCGCTTTCCCAGCATGCTGGGAATTTAACAGTTTTTTTTTTTTTTTTTAACCATTAAGTGAATGAGTTTAGTTCCATTTTTAACTCACAACTCCAATCTCACTAAATTTATTGATATAGAAGTTGTATTCTAAGACCTGTGTTTCTCAACCTTTTTCCAGTCGGGGTTCCCTTGAAAAGTATTTTCAGTCACGAGGAGGTGCGGACTGACCATTTGGAAACTTGGGCACTGCCCGAGGGCCCGGGGTCAGTAGGGGGCCCCATGAGATACCCCTGGTACCTTTTTCATAGGCTTTTTTGAGTTTGGGCAAGGACACAGGGGCCCCGAGATCCCCTATTGCCCGGGGGCCCCATGACTTGTCAGTCTGCCCTTGGTCACGAGGCACCCCTGTCCAAGGCTTAGTTCACAGTACTGTGTGTCGTGGAATGCACACAAAATCGCTCTCATTCCTGACACACAGACAAATGCTCTGCTCTTTAGGGGTACCCCATACATTGGCAAACACGGGGTGTTTTTGGTGCAGTGCAATTTTAAAATTGCAGGGACGACTTTCCCTGCATTTCTGCGGGTAAGGCAGCCCATTGAAATGAATGGGCTGCCCTACACACAGCCACACAGATGTGAACCAAGTGAGGTTGGAGGGCGGTAAAACCACTCAATTGAGCTGCTTTTACTACCCCAAACTGCTCCCCCTTTAGCTGAAGAAACAGCAGCTGAGGGTATACACATGCTGTTGCCGCAGCTGGAAGTATACCTCTAGGTGAATGGAGTTGAAATACAACCACCCTGCAACTGTGTGCTCATTGCACACAGTTGTGGTGTGGTGACTGATGCTGGGGTTAAACCAGGTGGTGAGGAGGCAACATATTGTTTCTTTACCACCTGCCAAATGCATCTGAAAAGCGATCTGAACATGGATTGCTTTTCAGAGGAGCAGCCGTCCATGATGCTACTACAAACAAGTCCTAAAAAAGCAGTTCTGATAAAACAGGAATATAGGCGGTCAAGTTTAAAAGTAAAATACATATAAAAACATATATATATATATATATATATATATATATGTATATGTGTGTATATATATATATATATATATATATATATATGTGTGTATGTATATATATATATGTGTGTGTGTATGTATGTATGTATATGTGTGTGTGTGTGTGTGTGTGTGTGTGTGTGTGTGTGTGTATACACACATGTACGTACATACATACATACACAGGTACGTACACACACACACACACATACATACATGTAGACGCATACACCTGTTCACACATGCACACACAGACACATGCACACACATGCACACACAGACACATGCACACATGCACACACAGACACATGCACACACAGACACATGCACACACAGACACATGTACATATTGAGGTGCGATTTGCAAGACATTTGACACAGATGTCTATGCAAATTGCACCAAAAATAATGCATGCACTACTTTAGAAATTGGTGCAGCTCCGACCAAGTCGGAAACGTACCGATATGACCGCTGTAATTGCGGAGAATAGGCTGCGACTTGCCATGCGATTTGCAAGTTGTATGGCATGCAAATCACATGCCAAGTCGCACCCAGTGTTACCGGGGGCTCGGGGCACTATTAATTTGTTGGCACCCATGTGTGAGTTGTAAGAGCAGCCTCATTTGGCATGAACCGGCCCTTTTCTCTTGGTTCACATCTGTGCTGGTGGTGCCTCTGCGGATCCGCATGAAAATCTGTGCAGCCGGACCACCCGCATAGAGGAATGCGGACCCGCGGGGCGGGTGCCATTACTTCTAATGGCACGCCGCCCGCACTGGAAAATGCAACTGTACTGGGAACTGAGGTTTCCGTGTGGGCTGCGTTTTCAGAAGAAGTGCAGGGACTTCTTCCCTGCGTGTCACGGGGCACGGGAGTCCATTCAAATGAATGGGTTCTTGTACCTGCACAAAACGTGGCCCGTATGGCCGCATATATGTGAAACAGGGGTAAGGAATAGCAAATGCAGATAATAATGGTTGTCAGTGCTGAACTCTAATCACAGCTGCCATGGGAGATGTACATAGTGCTCTGCCCACCGCTCCTCTTTTAGAAATGCATCAGACACATCTTCTCCCCCCACTTATCTGTCATCTATTAATCAGCGGACCAGGAACTCAACCTGTGCGACTTTGCAGGATCCTGCTAGCCACCTGCCACTTATGGAGATAATGAGGGTGATGTTAATTCACATTTAGCATCATATAAGGGCAATCCTTTATTTGCATTGACCACAGATTCAGGGGTGTAGGTGAGTACTAGGACCTTTCCCTTGGAATGCCTACAATACCTTTGGTAGATTCCAGATTTGTGTGTGACCCAAGAATTGTGACTGTAGAAAAGTGGAAAAGGCTGATTATAGCCCTGGGTTTGGATACCTTAAAAAGAACTTGTCAGGATAGAAGTACAAAAGCTCTTAGGGCCAGTTCACACTCCATGCGTTTCAGTTACTTTTTTTCCTGCATCCAAAACGCACAGAAAGTAGGTTATATGGTCGTCGATGTCATAGTTCACGTCAGTGCTTGCAGTTCCAGTGCATTCTAGTTGCAGAAAAAAAAGTAGAACATGCTGAATTTTTTCTGCACAGAACTGTACTGAAACGCACATGCCGCTTTTTAAATTGAAGAAAAAGGGGGGAAAAAAAATGAACTGGCATGCATACAAAAAGCACTGGAACGCGTCAAAAACGCACCGGAATGCGCCAAAAATGTCCATGCAAAAACGCATCTGGACTGTGCTTCTATAGTGTGAACCGCCCCTTAAAGAGGAACTGCAATCTGGAAGCTCTGCCCAAAAAAAGGCAGGTGAGGGACTAGTCACCAGTGTTACCTGTGGTCTCCCATCAGCTGATCTCTCACCCCATTAATGACTTAGGGCAGCCATACATGGGTCGATTTCAAATGATTTTTTGTTTGAAAATCAGACCTAGGAATAATCGGCCAGATTTGCGCTCTGTTAGTAGGGCAATGGCACCGGCCGATTTTTCGTGGTTCCTCCCCATTTTGTTTATCGAGCATGCTGGAAAATTTCATGAAAAACGACAGATTTTCAAAATCATTGGTGGCACCATTGGATTACAGAACGAATGATGTTTTTGATCGAAAAATCGTTCGGAATTTGACCCGTGTATGACCTGCTTTACTATGCCTTGTTCTCCATGCCACTGTGTATCTGTGTAGAGTTGGCCATCTTGATAGGGGCAGGGTTTTGCTTTCTCATGTCAGCCTCCAACATGGAGACCATTGAGCAGTACAATAGTGACATCACAAAATTCCACTTCTGAGACTAGCGGGCAGAAGTGGCAGTGCCGTAGATCTCACGCTGCGGATACACAGCGATGAGGCTGTAAGTACAGGGGCGTCTAAGCACCCTCGCATAACAGGAAGAATAGATTGGAAGCTACCAGGGGTGGTCTGACAACCCATGGGGCCCCCCGGGCAATAGGGGATCATGGAGCCCCTGTGTCCTTGCCCAAACTCAAAAAAGCCTATGAAAAAGGTACCAGGGGCATCTCATGGGGGCCCCCTACTGACCCCAGGCCCTTGGGTAGTGCCCGAGTTTCCAAATGGTCAGTCCGCCCCTGGAAGCTACATTTCGGAAGTATTTCCAGACACACTGTACAGGGTATTGCTTCGGTATAAATAACAGGAAGATGTTAACATAGGAAATCTTTACCTGTTGGGCTTAGGTGCATTTTTTACATCTACATATGAGAGATCCACACACTTCACTGGCTACATACTTGTTCCAGATCAGTGATTCACCAGTTATGAAAGCGAGGAGAATGATGAAAGCAGTAGAGCAGAGCATGTTCTTTAAAAAAACAGGAGAACAATGACAACTCCTACATCATTAATCTGCCTTTTTCTTTTGACCAGGATCACTCTGAAGAGTTGTGTTCTTTCTATTTTAATTGCTGTTGCCGTTCAAGTAACTTATTTCTTCCTGCTAGGGGCAGCTATGACGAGGGGGACGAAGAGGCCACCACCCCGGGGACACGACAGACTCATGACAACCTGTACAGGGTGCACATGCCCAGTTTATACAGCTGTGGGAGCAGCTATGGCAGTGAGACCAGCATCCCCGCCGCTGCACACACAGTCAGCAACGCCCCTGTAACGGAATACATGTGAGTTATATATTGTGTCTTTGTTGCCTTTTTTGCCTAAATGGACTTCAGTGTGACAGTTGTGTTTTTTTTTTTTTTCTTCTTTAATATGGCATTACTGGTTAAGAAGTTAACTGTGCGTCACTCACCACCTCCAACATTTTCTTTTGGTGGCAAAACTTTTATATAGCTATTCATCAGTGTTATTAAAAAAATACAAGAAAAAACTATTCTACATACCAACTTGTAAAATGATGTGGTTTGTAAAGAAGTCCTAAAGCGTTACTAAATCCAGGACCCTGCATTCACTATATCTGGTCTCCCACAGTACACAAAACATGGAAATGCAATTATTTTAGTAAATATAAACTACTAAATACCTTTTGCCATCAGCAATATATAGCAGTCTTGTGACTACTATCAGGATCCAGCAGAGCACTGGTTAAAGCTTGTAGGAGTAGTTTTCATTCTCTTCTGATTGTCCTATGAGGCTGCATAACCCCTGATTCTCTGCGTGTGATCAGCACAGGGCCAATCAGCACTGTCCAGACACTCTCCCAATAAAAACATTTTTTTTTAGCCATACACCCCAAACTGAGCATGTGCAGCTTGTCCTCAGGGATCTGTTCTTTCAGCTGATGGACTGGGAACAGTAGACTTAGGGAAGGATCAGAGAAGACAGGATCAAACAGTCTTTTTACACAATGCAGAGGATTAACCCCTTAAGTTCCACAGTGAGTATAACAAGTATGCTTTACTGAGGGGCAGACTGACAACTCATGGGGCTCCCAGGCAAAATGGGATCATGGGGCCCCTGTGTCCTTGCCCAAACTCAAAAAAGCCTATGAAAAAGGTACCAGGGGCATCTTATGGGGCCCCCTACTGATCCCAGGCCCTCGGGCAGTGCCCGAGTTTCCAAATGGTCTGTCCACCCCTGGCTTTACTGCATATACAGACTGATTTTACTGTTGTGGGTTTAGTAACATTTAAAGTCCAGCTCAGCTTTCAGGCTAAGTATATTCCAGGTGCATTAAAACGAAACTTGTGCAAAGTCTTAGCCCTCATGCACGCTTGACTATTTTACCGCTGTTGTTTTGGCGTTTGACGTTTTTTTCTACAGTCAATAAACCCCCCAGCATGTTATCCTATGTGTCCATGAACACATAGGCTGTAATCAACTAAAAAAACCCAGGACTAGTGGGGAGTTTTTTAGCCGTAAAAACGCTTGAACGCTGAAAAAACGCGGTAAAACTCCGCAAACCGGCGTTTTTGGACGTGTTTTTATTTTTTTTTACCAAAAAAATTTTTTTTTTTATTTTTGGTTGAGGTGATTGTAGCCGTATTAGTGCACTTGCAACAGAAACAATTCAGTACTGTCCGTGATACTTTTTTATTTGCACTAACATGCAATTTTGAGGACAAGCTTTCGGGAGTGTCCCCTTCTTCAAGGTCCAAGCAGCACTGTTACAAAGTTTTAGCAGAATGTTAGAAGATATGTGGGGATTGAGAAAAAAAAAAAACAGAAAGAAACACAAGCCTAAGGTTAGCCTAGAGATAAGAAGAGCAAAGCAAAGACTGGGGGGGACCAGCACTCACAGAGGGAGTCATAAATATGTTGGATAATGACTGAGGAATCCCATGTCCAAATTAAGGCCGTTATCTCAGCTTAGCTGTAGGTTACCACATTTTCTGGATGAGCTCTGCTTTTAATGAAGTCCTTATGGAATAAAAGTAGACCCCTTATGATACCTATTGCGGGGGTCATTTATAGAGTGCACTTTATAAAGAGTTTTGAACAGATAAGACTTTGAAACTTTTTTTCTGACCTCTGGAATGGATTAATTGGTTTGATTATAGCCACAGCACTGGTCCTTTTGTAACTGGTTCTATTCAGTGCATCCAGGAGCAGCAGAGTTTGGGCAGAAAAAACACTTGACGCCTGTATACACGCTTAAACGCACGTAAATGTGTCTAACATCTATATTAGTACATGTTATATAAATGGCCAGAGTAAATGATTATTCTAGACAATAAAATGAATTAATGCCCAAGGGCTTGACGCACTTACATGCAGTTCACACTTTTACAAGCATCAGGTGGTTTTTCTGCCGAAAGGCTACTGCCAGGAGGAAAGGCTTCCAGGTGAGTTAGCCAAACATCCAGTGTGCATGAGGCCTAATTCTGGTGGAAAATGTATTTGATTTCAACCAATTACAGGTGTACCTTGGTTTACAAATTTAATGCGTTCTCCGGGACGTTTCGTATTACGAAAAATTTGTAAACCGAAACGTGGTTTCCCATAGGAATGCATTGAAAGCCAATTAATCCTTTCCAGAGGTCAGAAAAAAGTTAAAAAAAAAAAAAAAAAAAAAAAGTCTCATCTGTTCAAAACTCTTTATAAAGTGCACTTTAAAGCCATGGGGCTGGTGCTATAAACCTCCCAGGCGGAATGCATCCTGGGGAAACTTGCTTCTTATTGCAAAAGAAATATGCATTGAAAGCCAATTAACCACTTGCCTACCAGGCACTTATACCCCCTTCCTTACCAGGCCAATTTTCAGCTTTCAGCGCTGCCGCACTTTGATTGACAATTGCGCGGTCATGCAACATTGTACCCATATGAAATTTTGATCATTTTTTTCTCACAAATAGAGCTTTCTTTTGGTGGTATTTAATCGCCACTGGGCGCTTTACTTTTTGCGCTATAAATTAAAAAAAGTGCAAAAAATTTGAAAAAAAAAAAAAAGTTTATTTGTTTCTTTTATAAAATTTTTCAAACAGGTATTTTTTCTCCTTCACTGATTTGCGTTGATGAGGCGGCACTGATGGGCACTGATAGGCGGCACTGATGGGCACTGATAGGCGGCACTGATGGGCACTGATAGGCGGCACTGATGGGCACTGATAGGGGGCACTGATAGGCGGCACTGATGGGCACTGATAGGCGGCACTGATGGGCACTGATAGGCAGCACTAAAGGGCACTGATAGGCAGTACTAATGAGGTGGCACGGATAGGCGGCACTGATAGACAGCACTAATTAGGGGTCACGGATAGGCGGCACTGATATGCAGCACTGATAGGCGGCACTGATAGGTGACACTGATGATGGGTACTGATAGACGGCACTGACTGGCATCACTTCTGGGCACTGACTGGCGGCACTGACTGGCACAACCCCTGGGCACTGACTGGTGGCACTGACTGGCAGCACTGGTGGGTGGGCACAGTTGGGTGGCACTGGTGGGCACAGTTGGGTGGCACTGGTGGGCACAGGTGGGTGGCACTGGTGGGCACAGGTGGGTGGGCACAGGTGGGTGGCACTTCTGGGCACAGGTAGGTGGCACTGCAGAGTGGCACAGGTGGGTGCACTGCTGGGCACAGGTGGGGGCACTGCTGGGCACAGGTGGGGGCACTGCTGGGAACGGGTGGGCGGGGCTAGTGGGCGCACTGCTGGGCGGAACTTGCGGGTGTCACTGCTGGGCGGAACTTGCGGGTGTCACTGCTGGGCACCGATCATCAGGGCACTGATCATCAGTGCCCTGATGATCGGTGCCGATCCCCGCTCTGACAACTGCCGGTTCTCGGCAGCACTTTCCTCACGATCTGACAGCGTGAGGAAAGTGCAGCCGAGAACCGGCACTTGCATTTCCCTGTGATCAGCGTGTCATTGGACACCGCTGATCACGTGGTAAAAGGCCGGTGGGATCGGCCTTTCACCACATCACGTGATCAGCTGTGTCCGTAGGACACAGCGATCACGGAGATCGCCGGGTGCGCGCCCCCTGGGGCGCGCAGGAGAGCGCGTTCTGGGAGGACGTCATATGACGTCCACTCAGAACTGGCGGCCGCGGTGAAGCCGTCATTCGGCTATGCGCGCGGTCGGCAAGAGGTTAATCTGTTCTGGAGGTCAGAAAAAAAGTTTTAAAAAAGTCTTATCTGTTCAAAACTCTTCATAAAGTGCACTTTACAGGCATAAATATTGTACAGGGACATGATTAAAAATTTCAAAAATGGCTCCAAAACTTGATGCAAAAAACCGCTCCAACACCTCCACACTCGACGCCACGTGCTATCCACAGATTCCAGCATGCACGGGATTGGCACTATAAACCTCCCAGGCGTAATTCATCCTAGGGAAACTTGCTTCATATTGCGAAAAAAATTCTTAAATGCATTGAAAACCAATTAATCTGTTCCGGAGTTCAAAAAAGTCTTATCTGTTCAAAACTCTTCATATAGTGCACTTTAAAGGCACGGGGCTGGCGCTATAAACCTCCCAGGCGCAATTCATCCTGGGGATACTTGCTTCGTATTGCAAAAAAAAAAATGTGTAAACCGAGACATTATTTTCAATGGATTTTCATTTGTAAAACGAAAATGACGTTAACCGAGGCATTGGTAAACCGAGGTACCCCTGTATTTTTTTTTTCTTTAAGGGTGCATTCACATTTGCAAATGCACCCTGGCTGCAGTTATATGTGAGAACCCCTGTGGAGGGTGTAGGGGGTTGACTGCCTGTGCCCAGAGCCGATCACTTTCATGTGATCACAGCATGAGCGATTACATGTGAGTGGGTGCAAGTAGCTACAAGAGCCAGCAGCCTCCCATTGCCTACAATGGGGCTGCCACTTTCAGTTTTTCGGCAATAACCCCAGTGGGGGTTCATGCGATTATCGCATCCAAGGAGCATTCGCAAGTGTGAAGCCGGGGTTTCCAAATGACAGCACTTTTGTCCCTTCACAACATTGTACCTAGCAGGCATCAACATTGATATGACAGGGGAACTTCTGGTGTGAAAGGAAAGTCTTATGATGTAAAAGCAAGGACTGATTTATTTTTTGGCCTGTGAATTTTAATGAAATGTTGGTGACCTTCGTAATGAAAAGATTGTAGATCCCTGGTTTAAACCAAGCAAATCTATTGCTTGATTAACCCCTTGATGCCAACGTCACACAAATATGCGGCCTCACAGAACTGGGCTTTTTTCCGTGGGGGTTCATGTTTGCGCATCTTTTTTTCTGCTGGGAGCGCTCCGCACACCGCGCTCCCAGCACAAAGACTGCGGTGTCACTGAGAGCCTCAGGTCCCGTTCTAACGATCGGGACTCCTGATTCCGGGTCACATGATCGCTGTGATAGCCTCTGATTGGCTATCACAGTGATCAGTCACTGTACAGCCCGGCCCCCTTGTTTTTTTTTTTTTCTCTTTATAAATGGAGGCGAGAGATACAATATATCTCTCTAACTCCTGGCATAGTGGGGAAAAAAATGTCTGTTAAAAAAAAAAAGAGATAAATATTAAAAAATAAAGAAAAAATACCTAGATGAAGGTTTGATCTAGTTCAGTGTCAGGGCAAGTGTTTGGGTCAGGTCAAGGGTCAGGATTTAAAAAAAAAAAAAAAAAAAAAATGGTGTCTGTGTGTACAAAAACAAACAAAAAAACAAAATGTGCACTATTGTTTCTGGGCTGTACTAAAAGTACAAACAACAAATAACATACACATATATGGTATTGCTGCGATTGTCAAGAGCTGGAAATCTGGGCTCATTGCTGGCCACTCAGAACTCTCCAGCGCTTCTTTGCCACATTTCTGAGTGCTTTTTGACGTATTGTTTGGGGTCATTGTCCTGCGTGGAAGACCCAGGCAAACCCAGCTTTCTATTTTGGGTTGTTCTTTTTTGTGGTAGGTTATGGTAGTAACAAGAAACACACAGCTAAATTTAAAAAAAATGATTTTTTTTTTTTTACTATTTTGGGCAAGTTTTCCTTTTGATAAAAAAAAAAAAAAAAAATTAGGAGATATCCATTACCATTTTACCACCAAATGAAAGCCCAATTTGTGCTTAAAAAAACGCAGTATATAATTCACCTGGATGTACAACTAACACATGTCAACGTTGCAAAATTATACTTGGGCATTAGGATTTATTTTACCCTTAGGCATGAAGGGGTTAATCATCATGATGTGCCTTTTTAAATATTTTCGAATACATTCTGATAAGTTGATCAGTTGTATCTTTTACTTATCTGACTACAGTAAACGGTCATTGTGTTGCTATGGGTTATGGCACATAACAAATGATGCACTTTTTTTCTTCACAGGAGTCAGAATGCGAACTTCCAGAATCCCCGATGTGAGAACACCCCCCTCATTGGACGCTATGGGTTATGGCACATAACAAATGATGCACTTTTTTTCTTCACAGGAGTGAGAACACCCCCCTCATTGGACGTGAGTCACCTCCTCCTTCAGTAAGTTTAATTACTGTGGTAACCTGTACAGAGTAGCCATAGTGGAACTAACTAGAACAAAATGGCTGGAAACCATTCAACCTACCTGTCCTGGGTGCCAGAGGACAGAAACCGTATAGACTTTGATAAATGAGGAGCCAAGTGAGAATAGCTCCTGTATTTAAAGATGGCCATCTTTTTACAACGGTTGATTGGTCACACACTGCTGGACTTGCATAAAGACATTCTATAGACAGCAGTAGAAGCAGATCAGCCAATGAGAAATCCGCCTGCTTTTGGATACTCATTGTAAGCTGTTCAGATCAGCCAATGAGAAATCCGCCTGCTTTTGGATACTCATTGTAAGCTGTTCAAAGCTGATTTTTTTCATTTGATGCCGCTGATTTTTGTGATAATAAGGCAGAAGGTAGGAAAACCACATAAAGGCAAACCAATATACATTCCAGCATTTTAAAATTAAGAATGGGAGCCGTGTTAGGAACCATTCATACATTTATACAGAGAAAAAAACAAAAATTTGTGATGAAAAAAAATACAAAATATAGCGATCTCAGACCAGGTTCTGTCATTACAAAAATGAAGAACAGGAACACATAAAAAGAAATGACGCATATAAATAGTGCAGTCCAAAGGATACGCTACTGAACCGACCTTAGCCATAGATATAGAAGTATTCCATTCCTTAGAGTCAACATACTCCGCAAGGTTCTTGGATTCAGTCTGAGATCACAGCAGGGCAAAAGATGGAACCAGCCAAAACTCCCCTTATGCTTGAGTATGCCAGTTTCTGAAAGTCCTACTTATTTCTGGTATCAAAAATCAGGACTTTTTGGAAGTATGCACATCATACAGAGGCAACACAAACAAGTGTTTGCATAAGTGGGGATATTAATATTCCTTTCCTGTTTTGATCTGAAACAACCTTACAATAACTCTTTTCCTGGAGTTTGGAGGTTTTTTTTTTTTTTTGGTTTTTTTTTGCAAGTCAAGTTAATAATCCAACTCTATACTAAATGTGAACTTAAACCTAAAAAAATGCTGGTTGGTATGATTTTTATGACAGAAGAGACTCTTTTCTGTCATAAACCCTTCTCCCTGCCTGTCAGCATTTGTGTACTCTGAACTGCGCATGAACAGCTCCACGTACATTTATGGTACAGCTCTGTGCCATGATGATGTGACTCCGTGTGCATGTGTGACATCATCACAGCCCAGCCAACCAGAATCTGAATCCGGAAGGAAGACTGGAAAGGTGGCGGTGCCTGTGACTGATGGGAGTGCTGACAGTACAGCGCTGGAAGCGACCATTAGCCAAGCAAGTCTTCCATAATGTGCTAATATGATTTGCATACTAGCACATTATGGCTAAAAACTACTGAGGCCAAATTTAAAAATTATTTTTTGCGGAGACTTAATTCTGCTGCCAACACCTGCAATTAAAGTGCTGCATGGATGGTGTTCCAAAAGGGTAAAAAAAAGCTGTAGCTAAATTGATTGTGTCTACCCAAATCTTGGATTCTTACCCCTCCCTATGTAGCTTGTGGCACCTAGATGTCATAGGAGAGAGTGCCCTGCTCCTTTGTCGGACCTTTCCTTGCAACACTTTGCAGGGCAGGCTGGGAGGAAATGAGAATACGAATAGGACACTGGGGCTGATTTACTAAAGGCAAATAGACTGTGCACTTTGCAAGTGTAGTTGCACTTCTTTTCCCCAGAGCTTAGTGAATGTGGTTAAGCTTCACTTTGTAAAGAATACCCAATCAGATACAAGGAGAATGGGAATAAAAACAAAACTGCATTATTGCTTGCTTATGATTGGATGATGGAAATCGGCATAGCTTCACTACAAATCCCTAAGGCTTGGTTCACATATGTGTGGGTAGTGCTGCTGCAGATCCGCACGAAAATCCGTGCAGCTGTGTAGAAGAATGTGGACCCGCGGGCGGGTGCCATTCGTTCTAATGGCATGCCGCCCGCACTGGAAAACGCAACCGTACTGGGAACCTAGGTTCCCATGTGGGCTGTGTTTTCCAAAGAAGTGCAGAGACCTCTTCCCTTCGTGTCACGGAGCACGGGAGTCCATTCAAAGGAATGGGCTCTCGTGCCCGCGCAAAACACGGCCCGCACGGCGGCATATATGTGAACCAGGGCTAAGCTCTGGGGAAAATGAGTGCAACAGCACTTGCAAAGTGCACAGTCTTTTTGTCTTTAGTAAATCAACTCCATAGAGTGGACGGGTGACAATGCTACACTGCTGTAATTTCAGCAGCATCCTTGCAGCATTGTTGGTTCTTCACAGGAAATGAGATGTTTTGGAAAGAAGAGCTGGTAGGATCAACAGGTAAAACTGGAGAAGGTGAAGGAGGAAACCTATGTGCGTAAGAAGGGTACACTAAGAAAAATGCCCAATTTACATGGAATAAATATTGTGCTTGGGGATACATCTTACGGAGTTTGCTCTGAATGAACACGGACTCTGTATGGTTGGCACAATCAGGACAAAAACCTCCAAGTGTTCTTGCAGACAGCTAGCCTAGGGGCCACTTATATCTCCTAAAATATCTCCACTCCTGGTCTGTAGGGAAAGTGTGAAAAGTTATCCATGAGGCTAGGTTCACATCTGTGCGGGTGGTGCCGCTGTGGATCCGCACAAAAATCCGTGCAGCCGCACCACCCACATAGAAGGATGCGGACTCGCGTGCGGGTGCCATTAATTGTAATGGCACTCTGTCTGCACTGGAAATCGCAACCGTACTGGGAACCGAGGTTCTCATGCGGGCTGTGTTTTCAGAAGAAGTGCAGGGACTTCTTCCCTGCGTGTCCCAGGGCACGGGAGTCCATTCAAATGAATGGGCTCTCGTGCCCGTGCAAAATGCAGACCGCAGGAACGCAGATATGTGAACCAGGGGTGACAACTAATCATTGTTTCTGAAACAATAGTGACTCCTGATTAGTTACAGATGGCCCCTGCACTTTGACCTTTGATACACTTTCATCTTAATGATGTGCGACAGACATAATAGCTTCCTGACGGTTCATATTATATAAATGTTAGAACTGTTACCATGATCTTGAAAAAAAAAAAAGAAGAAATCCTTTAATTCGGGTTTTCAGTCTCTGGAAGTGACAAATGACCTCTCATCAGCTTCTGTAAACCTCACTGTCTGCCTTCTCCCTGGGGCTGCTCATTAAACACAAAATTAAGAGGGAGATTGAATGGTCATGCAACACTTGACTAATTAAAACTCATTACATTGACATTTGCCATTACATCTGTTCATTACAGCATGCATTATTTGGAGAGGGGTAACTGGCAATGGAGCCATATATCCTGGAGGTTGTATTAACCAATTCAGGCTTGTGAAACAAGGCAAAGAGCAGAGCAGTAAGCTTCCAATTTAGAAACCAATCAGAATTCATCTTTACGCCATGTACAACAGTCAGAAAAATGAACAGTGATTTCTGATTGATAGAAGTGGATTACTGCATTTACACTTCGCTATCTGCCTAAAGTTCACATAATTCATTTCCACATTCTTTAGATTTGGTGTCAAATCTTGGTTTTCTTTTGAATAGTAGGCATGACAGGAGATAGAATGATGGATACTGAAGCTGTACCTATTAATATCAGACTATTGTTTACCTTTTTATTAGATCAGACTTATGAATTGGTAGTCATTCAGTTGGACTTGATCTATATTGTTGAAAAGATTTTCCAGCTAATCCAAGCAGCTTCTTCAGTTCTAATGAATGTCATGAACATACCCCAGCATTTAAAGTCACACAGGTTACTCTGTCATCTTAGATGGAGCGATGGAGCTTGACTCCCCCATCAACAGTCAGTGTTTATGGTGAATCCCTCTCATGGAACTATTGTGTTCTCATTGTGAGGGAGCCACCCTTGCTGGGAGAACACAGTGATTACTGCTAGTGGCTATAATGGCTTCTAGTAATCGCATGTAAAATCAGACAGGCTGGTTGTACCCAAGTTGATCGATCAATCCATCAACTTGGGTACATTCAGCCTGCCCATAAATGGTTCAATTGTCGTCCTGTCCCTGCTAAAGCAGTCGAGATTTGTACAGTCTATGTCTGGCTTTAGTCCAAACACAATGGATTGACCAAGCACATAATGGAAGGTGTGAAAGTTTTTGGAAACACCCTGTTCTATTTACATAATTGCAATCCCATTGTACCTTGAATTGTGGAACAGGTATATATCCTTCACATTACCAGTTTGAAGATGTGAATAGCTGTCAAAACATTGAGGTAAAAATGTTAAAATAGCAATATGTGTAGGTGATCCATGGTATTGAAGCCCCCCACCACTGTTGTTAGGGTTGTTCTGGTTTGATGTAGATGGCCTCTTTCATGCCTTTTGGGAGCCAGCTGTCCTTTCTTTCCAAAATGTGCACCTCGCTGTCCTCGAAAGAATGTTCATTTTCCTTACAATGTAGAAGGAATACAGAATTAAATTTTTTTTTTCGGCTATCCAAATGATTTGTCTTCCCCAAACAACTGGGACCTTTTGCAGACTTTATGGCACCATGGGATAGAATTATGTAATAAGAATTGGGTGTTTTCCATAAACTTTCACACCTCCCATCCTGTTCTTGGTCAATCAACATTTGCTTTGACACATTCCATGGTTATTGGATTAAGGTGACTAAGATTCCTGGGGTATTTTTCTGACCCTCATTAGAGCTGAAGAATTGGCTTATGTAAGCTGCTAAATGTCTTGGACATAACAGAACAAGTCCATTTGAATCTGACCAGCTACTGCTAGCTGTACCACCACCTGGATGAAATCGAACCTTCAGACATATATCTGATTTGATTCACTTGCATTTTGCATGGCCCCTTTCACACCTCTGTGAATGCGGTAACATACGTTTTTGCTGAGAAAGGTACAATATAATAATTTTCCATGATGCAGCTGTGTTAATATGCACAAACGTGCATGATGTATGCATTTTTATGAATTATTTGAATGGGCTTAT